AGACTCCATCCATGCCCCAACCTACCCCCTGTTGTATTCGCGCCTGAGAAGTGTGCGTGCGCGGCGCGGGCGGCCGGCAGTTTATATATGTGCATGTGTGTGTAGAATAGGCGAGCTGGACACGTTTGCGTCGAGTAACGACGAGTGACGTCAACGAGAGTGTGAGTTTGGTTTTAAACCGAATGAAATTGATATGTGAGAAACCTCTATTATTGAGAGTTGCAATGAGGTCCCGGTTCTTTTTCATTAAATTACCTCTGTTAATGGGTTGAATTGATTTATATCGTTTGAAAACTTTTTTTTTTATTTACTAACACAGAGTTTTTAACTTATGATAAGAGTTTTTATAACTTAGGTAGGTAATACCTATGCTTGGTCGCGGATGGACCATCTAGAACTAAACTCGCTAAGTATATCAATATCAGTAAGTATATCACACATTTAAAAAAACTTTATGCAGTTTATAGTACTCCGTTATATTCCTACCTCGGTAAAATCAAGACAATGTAGTTATAATTAAGTAAAACATAGACATCAACACCAACCGTTTTATATCGAAAATAATGGTTTATTTCGTTTTAAACGGATTGGTGTAATTGGTTTTAAACCGGCCTTACAACTATAGCCATGCCCATGCGTTGGAAGACGTCTTTAAGTTTCTGGATTTGTACGGGCTTAGCATTAACGTCAATGGTGAGTACATACATTAATCATCTTCTATTTGCTGATGAGACAGTCGTTACGGCGCGGCAGACACTTTGGAGGTTCTCGATACAAAGCACAACGATCTCAGTAGAGCCTCCCAGCTGGTGGACCTTAAAATTACTAAGTTGCTCGTGTGTGCTATCGCTTTATCCCCCTTAAACGAAAAATAAGCTTGTTTGAATTAGTTCATTGAATTACAAAATGACACGAGTAAGGGCTAGCGCATATATACAACTTTTAGTTGAACAACAATTTTGTTGTTTATCGTATGTATATAGCAATATATTGAAGCGCACATACTCTCAACTCGATAGTTGCTCAACAAAAAAGTCAAAAAGCTGTGTCGATCTGCTTTTGATTAAAAAGTTGGACAACTATCAACTAAACGCTCAATTTGTATTGCATTGTATTGATGTGCACATACCATCGACTAAGGCGTTGAGCAGACGACGGAGCGGGGCGGGCATTTTGTCCGCGAAGCAATAAAGACCGCGTCTGCCCGTCGATATCTGCGGCTGCCCGCGCCACGTACACAAAGCACACGACGGGCAGAGGCGGTCTGTTTAGGACGTTCGTTCTAGTGAATCGTGGCGCGGCATGAGCTGACCGCCCCGCGCCGCCGTCTGCGTTACTGCATATAAACTGGTTTGTATGATCCACGGCGGGCAGCCGCGGACAAGCCGCGCCGCCACTGCCCGCCGGGCACCTGCGGCGCGGTCTTTTTGCCCTCTGTGTGCGTTTGAAGTATAGGATTCACTTTGTGCTATTATTCGCGGCGAAATTGACCGGCCCGCCCCGCCCCGTCGTCTGCAAAGCGCCTAAACAAACAGTCGATCCGCGACTGTCACTCTCGCATGCTTATTTGGAGCGGTTCCACGTCTCTTGTCACCATGGCGGGCTTTGCCGGAACTATTACGGACGACACGGAGGAGTTTATTTATAGTGTAGAAAAAAGGCCTGTACTTTAACTTAAAGAGTCTGAAAGAGTTTTCAGACATAAGTTTGAAGAAAAAGCTATGGGAAGAGTATGCATGATAAGTCGTATCTAGATGGTTGGAACTAGATCCAGAAAATAAAACTAGATAATTTCATACTTCATAGGATACTTTTTATCCCAGAAAAATGTTAGGTTCCCGAGGGATAACAAAAAAACTAAATTAAACGCGAACGAAGTCGCGGGCGGCCACTAGTATGTTAATAAATAAATACATAAATAAAAACAAAAACATGTTGTTTGATTTTATTTATTAAACAAAGATTTTATACTATGTCTTATTGCCATAGTCCAGAGCCTTGAGGAGAAACAAAATAAGACGTTAAGTACTGGCAGACATTTATACCACCTGTAAGATTTCTTATATACAGTATCTTCATTTTTTTCTCTTTTAAAATTTCTATAAAGCAAATCACAAATTAGAACTTTCTCGTTAATTGACATTGTATGTATAACCTTGACTCGAGCATTGCTAAATAAAGACTGGTCGAATTGAGGAGATAAAAAAATAGATGATCGACTGCATCAATTGTATGCGTACCTCTATCAACTAAACGGTTTAGTTGTGTGGAAATCACGAGAACTACAAAACGCGACAATGCAAAAGTTGTATATATGCGCTAGCCCTAATATGAACAAAACACGGCGTAAATAGTCCATGCTTATTAAAAAGGTGGAGAGTGTCGGTACCCCAAACAGATGGTGGTGACTTGGGAAGGAATATGTAAAAATGAATACACGAAAATGTTACATCTCATAGTTTATTAATATTTTATTAGACCCTTTACCAAATTATTATAAAGTAAATAAATAGAGCTACATACTTGGTAATAAGTATAATTTTCTTGATTTTTCGTGTCAACAATTACTACAATTGATATGATAATAATGTGATTAATTTTCACAATGCATTTCTTTTTTATGTAAATATTGATTTCTGTATTATTTGCCACTTTTCGATTTTATAATTTAAATGGACCATTTACAAGCTAATAATATTTTTCAAAAGTTTTATTTTTAAAAATCACTTTATATTACTCTGATCCCAAGTTAAGCACAATATTGTTGTTGCATGACATGATGGATTCATTTCTTAAGTTAATATAATATTCTTCTAAGGCACGATCAGCTAAAATCTGATATAGTAATTATCACTCAGATATTTAAAACTGGTTCCCCGTATTACTCTTTAAAAAGTACTAAAATGATATTCATCTTTAATAATGATAACGTAATATTATGTAACAGCAAAATATCAACGACATTTCAACCCGCTTATACAATTAATTGCTTTCAACCACGTTAATTTACCTATCTTACATATTACATTATGTAACAACTTAAAAATTTAAATGTTGGTAAGCTGTGATTTGGTATTAAGGTGATGACTGCTACTCTACACGATTTGTTACAATATTGAAGTTTTTTTTTCAGTTCAACAAATATATAAAAAAACGACAAACCAATATTGAAAATATTAAATATTGGAATAGTTATATCTTTGAAAGGACATTTTTATTATTCTGAAATACTGCTACCGCTACACATCGACAACAAAATTATACACTTCAGTAAAATAACATTCAAATACTTTTATAGTTGTATTACATACCACATATAAATAAAATATTTAATTTAAATTGCAACAATTAACAATATAATTCTTTAATACAAAAAAAACGAGCTTGATTATATCCACTTGACATTTAATTCCCTCCAAATCACGAGACAAGCTCAATTTTTTCGTATAAAGGATAAATTTATACAATATAAATAAATAATTATATTTTAAACCTCTGCAATTCTGTAACCACTTTATACTTAAGATCTGTAGTTAGTTACATCTAAAATCTATAAAATATATTACTCTATTAACTATTAAAGGCAATTTATCATTAGATATGGACGGATTAAGTCAAGGCGCCCAATGGGGTTACCAATTAGTTATTTATTTTATTAGCTCTTAATATTATCCTATATTTAGTTGCGGCGGCTGCGGTAGAAATATATAATATAATTATTTAGTATCCGAGATATACATAACCAACAACGAAACAGCATAATAAGTATCTCTTTAAATAAATAATGTGTTGCATGTTTCAGGTAACTCACTAGGTCCATGTAATAAACGGACGGTCTACCACATGCCGCATTAAAATCTAATACCAATGACATAATAACAAAACAAAACATAACTTCGTTGGTAAACAATTTCAGTTCCATCTAAGTCAATTTCGTAAACTTAACAGGCAAGACCACAACCGATATTAAGTACTTATCACCTAAAGGAATGTAAATCTCAAGGTACGTACCTATAATGTTAAAAAGGAAAATGGAACGGATTAACCAATTTGATAAAAGGTACAAGGAATGTTAATGTGACTATATTAAATTTAACAATAAAATAATTCTAGGGATTTAGTTTTAAGTTAACCTCAATTTAAAGACTTTCCACGCCTTCATTTCACTCGATCGTGCAACTACGATATGAAATTTTGTACATCAATATACATATTAGAAATACAAGATAATCGTTCGCCACAAGGTTGAGCACTTCACTTTACATAGATTAATTAGTAAAATGAATATAAATCAAATAGTTGAATTGATTTTATTTACGCATTAAGAGATCTAGATTACTTATTATTAAACTAGTGTAGACATTAAAATGTCACGCTTGCCAATATCTGTACTCTGTGAACATGATTGTTAAGTTACGCAATAAAAATTCAAATATTTACAGGCACCAATTTAAGCACAAGCAACTTTCTGTAGAAGCATATACCTTTATTAAATTAGTGTGGGAAACAAATGCTATTTATGTTTTGTGCGAGTAGAACACAACTCCCATACTTGAGCCATATCTATTGAGCAAGTACATAATATGTATTTCAAAAGTTAGTACAGCCCATTACAGTTAAAGCAAAACATGTACATCCAGATGACTCATGCCGAACTTCGAACAGAAAGTGCTGAAAACAATTTTAAATATATTTTAAGTACATATTGGAATTAAAATAAAAATACCTAAATAGTAAACTCAAGAACAAAAAACAATAACATATACTTTTAAATTGTACATTAAGTATTAGTCGTGGACTTGCATCACATGCACTTTAAAAAAAGGAAACATAAATAAAATGGAATGTAGAATTTTAAATTCCTGTCTGTACACAATCACATTAATAATAAACAATCACGGAAATATAGGCTTTGCCTTTTATAACATCTTGTCAACAGTGAAGTGTAAAAATATATTAATTTGTACAATCTAAACATTTGTAAAATTCACTATCGCACCAAAAATACTCTAAAATTTAGTTTTAAATTACGGTGAAATATACAGTTAAGTACTGTAAAAAGAAAAATAAAACAAAATATAATTTTTAAGTGTAATTCACAGTACAGTCATTTTCCCCTCCAAAGGAATAAAGCCACCCCAATCTCACATTTATGTGGAATGCATACGTCTCAATTTGGAATGTTTCGTTTCAACAAGTGAGTATTCAACACTTGCTACAATTGAAAAAAAAATCGCTCCTCCGTGATAACTTGTAAACATAATAACAATCCAATCAACAATGACCTATGTTTATGCACCAATTCCATACTAGTGATTCGAATCGAGGAGCATAAATGCCAATTTTAAATAACAATGTTAAAATTATCATCATCATTCATTTAAGTACTAAAATATCCGTATAAATATCTTCGCTCATTTAACTATAAAGAATTACCACTAAATATACCTTGACGTAATTTGCACTTTCAAAAAATTAAATAGCTTCGGGGGGACGTTCAGTGTAGAGCATACTCGAAGCACTTCAACCCAACAATGCCTTTCACAGACGAAGATAATAAAATTAAATAAACATCTCTACATAAACATTATGTATTGAAACAGGGAAAAGTGGGAAGGGTGAAGAACATTTGAAGTGCTTGCGGACTATGCACACATTATTATACGAAGTGCATTATCAAACACAAAGTCAGTGATTGTCGAACGGCCCCCCAGCAAACAGTCATTGGTGGCTTTTGCTGAGCAGATGTGAGTTGAACTCGTAGACATTGCAGCACTGCTCACCGCAGATATTGCACTTCCAGGGGTTGGAGTCACAGTGGCAGCCCTTGTGTAAGAAGTAAAGTGTGGAATCGGGGAATGTTATGGAGCAAAATGTACATACGAGCGAAGATGGCAGCAACGCAGTGTCGCCGTGAGTTGAAGTGATCACGCCGCCCTCTGACGGTGAAGCTCTGGACGCCTACAACAATAGAAGAAAAGTTCAAACTAATGTACAGTAGAACGCCGATTATCCGAATTAATTGGGACCGCGATCGATTCGGATAATCGGACATACCAATCATACCAGTCTGGTTATAAAGAAAAACGAACTGTCACACATAGAATAAACGTGTACTCCCTTATTAATGAACGAGGCATAAGCTTAGACTAGTTACGCCGTGTTTCGTTCATATCCATTCCACCACTCCACTCCAATGCCATTTGTCATTCAATGAACAGAGACAAAACATGGATAACTAAACCAAGCTTTAGTCGTCGTTTATTGATAAGGGGGTATAAGTTTAACAAAGTTCTAAAATACTAAATACAATAATAATGTCTTGCCTCTAGCTTTCAACCATAACAGTTGGAATATATCTGGACTCCAGCGAGTTCCAAATTGTTACAACAAAAACACATTTTATTTTGATTGAGGAGTTCTGGACTAGATTCCGTTTTCAAAATCTAGGCTGAAAATAGGAAGCAGAAAGTAGCCCGGATTCTGATTGCTTATAATGAAATCGATTCCGTTTTATTTCGATTGAGGAATTATTGACTAGATTCCATTTTCAATTCACAAGTTAAAAAGAATTCAATACATACAAAAATCTAGGAAAAAAGGAAGCAGAAAGTATTCTGATCGCTTATGATGAAATCAATTCCGTTTTATTTTGATTGTAAGGAAACTGGTACCCTTAGCACGAACCAATAACGAATACCAATAGTTGAATTCGATCGCGATATCCGTGGAATGTCTTTGAAGTTTTGTATGGAAATTTGAAAAACGCCACAGCGGACGTGACGAGAATTAAAAATCTTCCACGTTTGAAGCGTTATCGAGATCAAATTCAACTATTTGAATAGGGATGATGACAACTTTTTGTTCTTCCTTATCAGGTAGATTATCAAAAAGTATTGGACACGTATTTTTACTCTATACACATAATCAAAACATTACAGAGATACAATGATTTGAAATGTCGCATGACGTCACTTTTCGGTACAATTTTTACTTAAAAGTAACGTCACGAGCCCTCACTCCCAAACTTTGACGCACTATGACCATTGTCATTTTTTGGTTGATTGACCAAAGAAAAAAACCGGCCAAGTGCGAGTCGGACTCGCGCATCGAGGGTTCCGTACAAACCTGAATTTTCATAAATATTTTTTATTATATGATGTAACTGAAATTTACGGTTTTCGTTTTTTTTCCTTTATCTGCACTATAAGACGTTACAAGATTTTATTTTTCAAGATATTAATTTTCAGATTTTCAAGATTTTAAGTTCACGGGAAGTACCCTGTAGGTTTTGATTTCGTGCGAGTTTCGAAAATTTGCGGAAATTTATCATGCATAAACGGCTGCATCTTTTGATTGCTTCGGCTTAGAAGTTTGATTTTTTGAGCTCCAAGGGACAGTAGACCTGAGTATTAGATATGAATTTCAGTTTGATACCTCCACGCGTTCTTGAGAAAAACGGTCTTGACAAGCGGACGGACGGACAACAAAGTGATCCTATAGGGGTTCCGTTTTTGCCTTTTGAGGTACGGAACCCTAAAACTACGTGTCCATTATTATTTGATAATCCAACTGATAAATAAATTTTCGTTTACTTAACCCCGTCACCACCCCTATTCGTTATTGGTTCGTGCTAAGGGTACGGTAAAGTGACACTTTGCATACGCACATTAGAGCCACGGGCGCGACCGCGTGCCGATATGCGTCTGCGCAGGTCTTCACGGAGCAAGCTCTTGAGCGGCGATACCTTGATCAGAGACGAGGACACGCCACGCTTGTCGCCGTTCGATTCCCCGTCGCGCGTGTCGCCGGTGCCCGGGTCATCTTGCGCGTTTAGTTCCTAGAATACGAACGGATTTTCATTAGAGCTAGGCCGACTACAGTATTTGCCGACTCACCGACTAGCTGACTAATCGGTTTTCGAAATGCCGACTAGTCGGCCGAGTATTCTGCAATGCCGATCATTCTAATACCTATCTTAGGAAGATGTTCGAAATATGTCGTCACTATTCGGCTTACTCATGCACGACACGAGTCTCCCAAATCGAGCCGAAATATTCATGTTCCAACATCAGAATTTGCCTCTAAAGAAAATATAATTTACCTATCGACTTCTTTAAGACTCGCTAGCACTTATGATTTTACTCAATTAATACGTACTTACTTACGTGCGATATTCATTGCGTTAAGTTTTATCTGAATTACTGACAGACTCTTAAGTTCCTAATTCTTATTATTATATAAATACATAATCTAGGTACTGTTTAAATATTCAAAACAAGCATAACTTTTGAGTTTTATTTCATTGTTATGTCCTTTTTTTTATTATAAACGATTATAATCGGTATGTTTTGCCGAATAGTCGCCGACTATAAACGATGCCGAATAGTCGTCTTTCCCGACTAGTCGGCCCATCTCTAGTTTTCATTAAAATCAGCACACTTATGTCCCTATTGCTGATGATCGCATCAGACGAAGCCTGTGACGCCCTTATAGCCAAAGGCATCCCCCGAGTGTGTTTTAGTCAGTCTGCCACCCGCTTCTCCGCCTGTGAGGTAACAAAAAAATGGGGCCTCGGGGCCGTTCAAGTATCACGTAAACTGATTTATTACAATTAAATACATTTTATTAAATTCTATGGACTGTGTGCAGATATGCACTAAATTTTATCATAGTTTCCTGTAAATCTAAAACACTGAACTAGGCTGACGAGACAATAATCCGCGTCTGTTGATTTCATAAGCTTGGCTCTCGTTTTCAGTTACTATATCCTGCTCCAAATAGGCGTATTTGTCTATTATTTCGATGATAGTATGGATAATTTTGATGACCGTATTGTGATGTAGAGATGACGTTGACAGATATAATGAGATGTTACGTATTTATTTTTCGTTGAACGCACGAATTTCTCAACCACACTACGGCGCGTAGATTTAACCGGGGAGGCGAGAGGGTGTTAAAAGTTGCTAAAAAGCATCACATGAATAATGGATGACCCCTTATTAACCGTTATTTTTACCATTTTTATTACTTCCAATTCCAACCTACTGATCTGAACATTGGTCCTTCGATTCAGACATAATGTTTAATTTAGGTCAACTGAATGTGCCGTTGCGATGACGCGACGTCCGCGCTTGCTCCTATACATATATAGTGAATGGACTGCGACCGACACTTATATGAAACTAGCTGTGCCCCGCGGTTTATTAGGGATATATTTCCGCAATAAAACATAGCCCATGTGTTAATCCAGGGTATCAGCTAATTCCATACCAAATTTGATTAAAATACTCCAGCCATTTAGACGCGAAGAAGTAACAAACAAACATACAGACTCACAAACTCTCGCCTTTATAATATTAGTGTGATTGACAACCGTCTAGAAAGAGACAAAAAACCATTACTTAGACCAATGGTTCCCAACCAGTGGTCCGTGGACCACCAGTGGTCCGTAGAAGCCAAAATATGGTCCGCGAATGAATTTGAATTTAGCGGGCGTGCCATAAATGATGATGATTATTGTTCATTCATTATTTTTTTAATTAAATTTCATATTAGATTTTTAATTAAAGTTTTAGTTTGATTATTACAGTTTATTTTTATTACACTAAAGGTAGCCATACACACTACGAGAAATCGTTACGATCAGACTGTACGCAGTAGTTTATCGGACGTGGCATACGTATAGAAAACTGTGCAGTTTTATAACATACATGCTACGATTTATCGGTACCGTTCGAAATGTACAGTCTGATCGTAACGATTTCTCGTAGTGTGTATGGCTGGTATAAAATTTAGTTGTTTAGAGACTAAATAATGGTCCGTGCCAAAAAAAAAATGTAAAAATGGTCCCTGACCAATAAAACGTTGGAAACCCCTGACTTAGACGAACTATGTATTTGGGCAGACAGCCAAAAGCAAGGGCATTTGTTTACTTCACAGTTAGACAGGAATGCTATCAGAATCTATGGCTGGCCAAGTTTTTACTCAGTTCAAACAATTTGCATCCCCTTGAATTTGTAAATTAAATCAAAGTATAGTTCAGTAACGAATGCCCCTCACCCTGCAGCTCAGGAGCATGGTAAATTCAAACCTGAGTCAGCTGCGAAGTAAATAAGAAGGTATTTACTTATTTTTTATTTACTTAGTACCAGGTTCGGCAACAGGTGGGTAGTTCTTGTCAGAACATGTGAAATTTCAAAAAACTGTACTTTTTGGTCAGTACCTTTGATTTTTATTTGATGATTGCAAGCCAGATTTCAACCATTCGAATGCTGGAGATGGCCCGCAGGGCGTAGTTTGTCGATTTTTTCTCTAGACAGCCGTTTCATCACTATTAGATATTATTTTGCTATGCTAATACCTTATAGCATATGCAAACAACTTTGAGCTTTATAGTACCTACTTAACTTATGATTCATAATCTCTAGAGAAAAATAATGCGAGTTTGTGATAACTTGAAGTGTGCTCGTCTGAACATATTGAGTTAATTGGTAAAGTACGAAGAGGGAAATTAAAGCTATGGCCATAGCCTTGAAGAAAATCTAAACATGAAGAATTGCAGTTGTGATCTCAACCTCTACTTTTCTTGACTATAATTCCTACTTTATCATAGTAATTGTGATGTTAACCCATATATATCATCTTGACTATTATCCCGACTTTTTTTTAACAAATTTCCAATTTTTCTTATAATTCGCAAAGTATATTACCTGTTTTTGAGGAGCTCGATGGCGCGGGTGGTTATCCGATTGTTGAAGTTAAACAACTTTCGCAGTGGTCGATCATTGTATGGGTGACCAAAAATCTTATATCTCGAGTTCCTCCGTGCTTCTATAGGCATGTTAAGCCATTGGTTCCGGCTGCATCTGCAGTCGTTAGCACCCGCCAATCCGGGCTGGGACCGCGTGGTTGTTCAAGGCCCAATCTTACTATTCCATCCATAGGGAAGGCCTGTGCCCCAGCAGTGAGAATATTAATAGGCTGATAATGATGATTACCTGTTTAATGGGTATTAGAGTTATTGAAGGCGTGATGTTGGTGGGAAGTCCAGCTGATAAGGAGCTGCTTGCGATGGCGCTGTCACCTGACTGTGGGGAGCTCGGTCCCTCGCCATTCATTCGAGAATCTGTCGAAAACCATTTCATATCATAAATACCATTAGGAATAATTAGTCCATTTCACTATAGACAAGGCTTTTTAAAGTATCAATAAATTAGGTCCACAAATAAATAAGTTCCTATACTTATTAATATATAAGCTTTCTATAATTACTTTTGTATTTTAAATAAATGAGGCCCACAAATAAACAAGTACCTATACTTTATATTAATAAATGGAACTTATTTATTTGTACTAACTTTAAAAAGCCATGTCTATAATCAAATGGACTAATTATTATTCTTAATTCTTAAGCAGCAAACTTATTGTGCAAAAACACAAACATACACTTACGCAGTATACGTTTTTGTATGTAGAATGGCTACTGCGCAGGTTTCCTTGTTTATGGTTGTTGCACAAGAAGTTTGCCGGGGTGTAGTCTAATGGACACAAGTAAGATGCATAGCCATAACGAATGTATTGAGCATGTCCTGTTCAACTGTATAGTATAAAACAGGAAAGAAAAGTGTGACAAGAACGAAGCGACCATGCCGCCAACACTTCGTTTGTATAGGTATTAACCATTGCGTTCTTCCTAATAAGATATCAATTTCATGCGAACGTCGCTCACTCCATTCTCTATGTTTATGGTAAGAAATGGAAAAGTTATATCACAGAGATAACATAATATCTGGGCCGACCGCCTATCGGAGTTGCTTTGGCTATTGCTATAGCTTTAATTTTATTTTGTTGTTACTAACCACTGAAGATTTCCAAATCACCTCACGCTCATTTCCTTAATATTGTTATACCAATGCAAAAAGTGCCCGAAGCATTTGAAAACTATTTGGCGGTCAGAAACAACAAAATTATATCATTAGTTAAAGCAATTGCCAAAGCAATCCCGATAGGCGGCAGGCCCCAGTACTGTTTGTAATCAAACTTACCCGAATGATTAGTCTGACCGGGAGAAAAGGTCTCGTTGTTGTCAGCCATAGAGATCTCGACGTGAGGCGTTAAGTAGTGCATCGGTGGAGTGGCATTGTCCACGGATCGTGCTCCGTTGCTATCGCCACTATCAGAGTAAGCGGCGGCGACGGACACTGACAGACCGGAGCCTAAAGCGCCCAGCGCGTTTATTGCTACCGGATCCATTGTGCCGTCCGCATACGCGGCGCTGGCTATCCCCGCGGCGAGAAGGGAAACAGAGTTGTTGCCGGGACCGGGGTTGTCCAAGTCTATACCGTGTCTGTATCACAAAAAAACAGTATGTGTTATGGCAGGAAATACAGGATACAGGATGCAATCCTAGTCTTTTATATTTGTGGAGCTGGTGAACAAAACAAAATGGTTTTGACTAGCTGAATTTGAATTTCAACTCATGTCAATCAAAAGCGCCTAAAATAGTGATAAATTACTTAATTAAAAATCACGCCAAAAGCTCACTGTAGGTATGTCGTTCAGTTTTTTACAGCAACTGTAAAATTTAATTTGATGTAATTATACCGTTTTGTTCACCAGCTCCTCATCTCTATAATATAAGACATAATGTTACTTATACATTATGTATTATCTAAATATATTATTTGCCATTTAAATATACGTCCAAATCCAAAATTTCAATAAAACCCTTTTTTCTTTCTACTTCTTGGGCCCGGGAGTTGACACTTCACACTATGTAAGGTTAGTGTTGTAACCATGGGGCATGGATAGCAGTGATATGTTATTGTGAAGTGTTGATGAGTGGCAAATAGACTAGGAAGCGGTCCCGAGAGGAGGACCCCCAAGCAGAGCCACTCACACGCCGACGAGTTGGAAGACGGAGGAAAGCATACACTAAAGCCGTATAAATGGGGTAAAAGTAGGGAGTAGCTGACGCCCCGACGACGACAGCCGATTGAATAGTGTGCGCCGACGTACACTTGTTTCGGTATGTCGGCGCCCGGTGGAAAAGAGTGGGAAACCGTGACGGAGGTTGGTCCGGTTACGGACGTAGTGATGGCTTGTGGAATTGACGAAGACATGGCTGTTATTTCGATTCCACAACCCATTGCTGAAGATGAAACACCGTTGGGTTTTAGTCGGTAGGTAGACCCGTGCCTGCCGATCAGGGGAAAATTTATTTTCGTCAGGGGAGAGTCCCCAAGAAGTGTTTTATCAGGGTATTTTGAGAAGGCCTATAGTATAAGATGCTTATAAGGAGAATAAGAAATAAAATTCAGTGTTATGTTAAGTAATAATTATGCAAAGAAGAAGTAGTAAATTAACTGAAATTTAAGGAAACTTACCTATTGAAGAAATGAACTCTCAAACTTTTCATGGTGGGGGCGCGATAGCTACAAAGTGGGCAAGTTTTGACAAGGTCGTGCTGTCCGACATGTTCGTTTTGGAAATGCGCGCGCATCGCGATCTGACGCTGGAACCCTCTGTTGCATATGGGACAATGGTAAGGCAAGCTTTTCGTGTGCGTCGTAAAGTGTTCAGCCAGGTGATCCTTTCTGAAAAATCTTTTCTGGCAAACGCGGCATTCGTACGGTTTGACGCCGGTGTGACGCATTTTGTGGCGACGCATATTCGCACCATTTGAAAATTTCATGTTGCACACGTCACATTCGAATAGTTTCCTATGAGGGCGCGCGTCTGCGGTCTGCGCCGCAGCCACATTGTTGTTGTCGGGCGAACACTGCGCCATGTGCGTGGTTAAGGCTCGACTACTTAAAGTACTGAAACTGTTACATGTGGTGCATTTTAATAATGTACCACCCCTTTTTGGGGTCTCCTTCCCACTAACTGTAGCTATCTGAAAAGAAAAACAAAATCTTGATGCTAAACAGTAAAAGTATTACTAGTTTGATATTTTTTGCCAAAATAAACTAAAATTCACTTGGCTTGAAGCTAAGTGTAGATAACGATATCTGTATGGGTATTAAGTAGAGTATTATACATTTTTCATGAAGAAATCCTTAAAACCTGTTAGGTACTTCTAAAAAAATATTTTTTGGTGTTTTTGAAATGGCTGTCTTTCAGGTAATTAGATATTATTTTTATGTTGTTGTTTAATTAATAATAAATTTAATGTTTAATCCAATAAACAAAAGAAGTTACTACTTAAATATATACTATTAAATCATCAATTTTGATCAATTGGTTTTGTATAAAACAAATCTTATGCAAAAACAAACAAAGCTTATGCACAGTTTGCCAATGTTCTTAAGTTAACAAGTAATTATGTTTATTTACACCATCTGGTAGTTGGTATTTAAAGTATAATAAGGAAATTCTTTACTAGAATACGCTCCCCTAAAACAAATAAGTGGAGAGATTTCTTTATCCCATAATCTCTCAGAAAGTAAAGCAAAGGATCAAAAACTGCATTACATGAGAATCAGCCTTGTAAAAACAACAATATAGCCAATGACAGCAACCCTTAACTTTTGTGAGTACAAGCTTGTTCCCATTGGTACAGTATTATGGTCTATGAATATTTGGTTGGCTAATATTAAAAATATAAAGCATGGTGAATTAATAAGAAATATTCTCTTCCACCAGAAAATAGAAGTAAGTTTAGGAAAATCTTATAATAAGATCTTATGGAAAGAGATTTCTAAACTAGGTGAAACTTGAAAATGGTGCAGCTATTCAAGAGTTGTATTAATAAAAATAAGTCTGATAACTAATGTATTTATAATGTTACTCAAAATAAAATTATACTAAATACTAATGTTAGAAAATGATCACACAAATTTAATTATATAAAAACCAAACACATTCAAGAATGCTAAGATTAAAGCTTCTAATTTGAATAAATTATTATTATATAATAGGATTATTATCATTTAAACATACTTAATTATTAATTTATAAACAGATTTGTTTTTTTACTATCAAATTTCAATTGTGTTCACTTGCTTCTGTGTTTCAGAACTGTGAAATTGGCCCTCATTTAGTTTTTATGACACTGTTGTATTAAATTGTGTTCACACATAAAACTTTAATTGTATTTTATTTTCACTATTTATGGCAACTACGATTTTATGAAATCAATATTTGTAAGAAATTAATGAACTTTTGAAAAAAAGATGTGGTGAATGTTTACAAATACATAAAAAAAATTAACAATTACATACTTATGCATTTGAACCAGTTGAGGTAGTAATTTCCACTTAGCAGTTCACACAACAAAGTAGAAGGTAAAAAATCAACAAAAACTCAATTAAGAAAAAATGAGGATCTTCACAAAAAAATATTAAGATTTCTTACTGTTTAAATAATTTGGAAGAAATGACGGAATGAGTCTACCATTCCAAAAGGGACGAACTTCATATGTTTGACAGGCCCTCAGCCCCACCGCCCGGGGTATGGAATAGCGTCACCCCAGACTAGGTCTGACAAATCAATGCAAACCGGACAGAAAACATATACCACATAAATCAGACCACTGTATTAAAGTGAAAAAAAAAAGTTTGACAGGAAAGAAGATAGAACAGTTTCTAGGGAGAAATATCAAAATATCAAAGATCTTTCAGGGAAAATTAAATTGACGTTTTTACTATCTTTCTTGCAATTTTCCCTTTTTTCTCACCTTTTAAACCTTCCCTAGACCTCCACGAACATTTCAAGACCAAGATTAGATAAATCCATTCACCTGTTCTCGAGTTTTAGTAAGACTAACAAACAGCAATTGATTTTTATATATGAATATAGATTAAAGTTTTGTTATTGTCAGTTGTATCAAATTTAAATCAAAATTTTTAGATATCATTTCCAAAATATTAGATATCTATATTTGTTGATAATAATAATAGCACGACATTTATAGTTATATCATTATCCACCAGGAAAATAGTACTGTTGTGTATTCAGGGCTGTACTTGATGGGTCAGCTTGGCACGAACAATTCCTGATTAATGCAATCAAGACCAACCGGTTCCTAATAGAAAACATACTAAATAACAAGCATAGTTAACAAGACTTCCACAGTCACAACTCCATTAAATATCACATTCAGGTTAGGAACATGATTTAAATTGGGCAATGTTAAATCAAAATCATCAACAGTATACTAATGCTAATTAACATTTAATATGTTGGCAAATATTTTTAATTTGTTCTTAATGGCTCTTAGCATTTTTTTTTTGATATGTTTAAACAGTGATATTACCAAACAAAATTAAAATAAGTCAAAGAGTACAAAAAACAACAATTAGGTTTAGCTGACCTGCTCCAAAAACAATAGGTAGTTTTTATTAAACATTCATAGGAAATAATACATTAAATTATTTAAATATAGTTGAATTCTTGAATCAAGGTGTTAGTAAAAATTTTGGTCAGGCATACAAAGTTAATATTTACCGGTTCATTTTTTACAGCCGTAGGTAAATTCGGCGACACGGTGCCAGAATCGGCCTCTGTTTCCCCTTTTGATGACATCACATTACCAGGTCGCGGCCTTACTGAACATCACTCTCCCGCCTATATTTACTCTAAAACCAAACACGTCTCCAATTATCATAAACTCTTATAAAACAGCACTAGAAACAAGAATAAATAGCTACGTTGAATCGACGATAACACAATCAAAATCAATTTGATTTTTTTTTCAGAATGGCGAGCTGACCCATTTACGAAAACATACAAATTATCGACTTGCGATCTAACTATTTTTAAACCTTAATAGCAGTATTTACTGAGAGTGTTATATTTATCAATTAAAAACACAAGATGGTAAAAAATTATGACACTAAATAAAAACTCACGCTAGCTTGATACGTCGACAGGCTGAACAGCGGTATTTTAGGGAGAGATCGCTATGTGGCCTAATTCAATGCTAAACTTGATGCACAAAATACGTGTTACGCGTATAACTGTAAATGCACAAAATAGTGGATCCCGCGCGTAGAATATGTTACAATAAAGGTAAATTACGTTATCACATGTTTTTAAAGTTAATTTGATAGATAAACTAAAATTTATAATATTTTGACCAAACCCATTTTGATAAAACCACACACCTGTGATGATGATTTTTCTGAGCAATTTTATTTGATTTATTTTCTAGCAACACAAGGTAACCTCTTTCGTCACTTGATTTGTCCACTACCTCTTTCTCTCTCACAATTTTTGTTATAAGTGCATCTCTTTCTTATATCGTTCGGATACACTGTAAAAATATAAAAACATTGGTTTTTCAGATGCAAAGAGGGCTAACTCGAGCTCAGTGTGATAGTCACAACAGAGGAAGTTTATCTCGCTCTTACAAAAAGCCAGCCGTCCAAACATAGTCTAAAAATGTTGAACGATTATATAGTGTGGACTGTGGATTATGGATTGCTTTAAATATTATAAAAGTAGGGTAGACTGTACCAACTTTGGCCCCCCAACAATGATTGTCCCTCTTGCATTTACACTAAAATATAAAGAAATTTCTAAATAAAATACTGAACACAATATTTTAATACTATACTTTGATGGCATTTTTTAAATCTTCAGCAGATAATGGACTAAGGGCATTTTTGAAAAAACAAAGTTCGATAGTCACCGGTTCGCACGAAAAGGCAGCCATTTTATCGGAAGTCAATAAGGGATAGGTGTTTTTATACATCGCAAGTCACAAAAAAAGGGTATTATCTTCAAAAACAGGGTTTCGAGATATCGCGTTTTAAAGTTTTAAAAAATCATAGAAGCGGAACTACTTGTTCAAATATTTAAAATGATACCTTGATTTAAACGTACATTGGTGTCGATTCTGGCGTGATTCTCTAAACTTAAAAGTAAATTTAACATCAGTCTCTCCTTTTCATTCTGAATAGAGAATGACAAGGACACTGTTGTCAAATTTAAGTTTAGATTTAGAGAATCATGCCAGAGTCGATACCATTAGAAAGTTTTGTTAGTGTATCAATAGTAGTTTTTATTTTAAAAGTGACTGGGTAAAGATAATACCCTATAAGCAGTTCAAATGGCTCAGATTTTAAAATTACGACTATCTTGCTTGACCAAAATCTACTATATCATATTGATAACGGGTAATAACTGCTTTGGACAAAAAATGGCACTTTTGTTTTTTTGTATTAAATAAATCCTATTGTGCAATTTTGTAAAATTGCTTTCTTATTGGCTTAATTTGCTGAAATGAATTTTTACGAAAATTTTGAAACTTTTTGTATTTTTCCTGCAAATTAAAAAATATCATCTTTCTTTTCATTTTGTATATTTTATATTACTTTAGTAATTAAGTAGGTTAAGGTAATTTGGATTGTATATTGTAAACATTTAAATGTATCCATTATTTAATAAATAAATATTTATTTTTACATTAAATAGGTATGAACTCTTTCTGATATAAGTGATAAAGCGATAAGGACCAGTAAAATTATTGCCCTACTTGAAGACGATTGTTCTCAAATTAACGTGTTTCAACGCCTAAATGTGAGTCAATTATGTGTCCAGAGGACTTGGCAACGGTATCAAGGGACAGGTTCGGTCAAAAGTACACCCGGTTCAGGAAGAAAACGATGCACAAAACCAAGGGATGAACGCTTTTTGGTAAGTCAGGCGTTGCTAAATTGTTAGGCGTCAAGTGTAGACCTGAAGAAGAGCATTGAAGAAGTAAGAGGAGAAGAAGTTATAGCTTACCAGTTTATAGAGAAAAAAAAAGTAGTTTTTGAAACGCAAATAAAAAAATTAACGAATTTTCCGACTTAATACATTAATGTTTGTGATGTCCGATATGTTATTTTCTAACGTAATATTTAATTTTTTCGATGAAAATTGTATTTTAGCAGATTTTCAACTAAAATTCAACAATATATTAAAGTTTTGGTTTGCTATAATACATATTAATACATTAATGAATAGGTCGGATACTATACAGTTTTCTTATATGCAGACCAATTACAAGCATACACAACAATCACAATAATGTTAATAAACAACTTGATACAATTCAACTGATTGACCTGATCACAAATCTATGTATTTTAAATGACTATATTATGGATAGATTGATGGACCCCGCTAATTTATTCAAATACATACATAAAAAAGAAGAACAGATTATTTCGCTATTTATTTATTTGTTGTACCAAAGTGTTTCGGCAACTTTCCCCTAAAGGATACAAGACCATCACTAAATATATCTATGCTCTGATCTTTGGCGCCAATCTCATTATATGCTGAGCAAATTCTAGCTAGAGGTTCATGCAAACCCAAATTTGTTCGATAGCGAGGGTGTCGCGACGGGCAAACGTGACCAAGTCGCGAAATGTAAATATTGGATATGGCAACAAAATCCTGTAATCTATGGTGAGTAACATTAACCGATTTTAATACCTAATCTGTGGCCCGTAACTCCGCGGTTTTTTACCTGTCACAAAAGTTTCTTTTCCTTTTGGACTCCGGCTGAAAGGTGTGCTGTTTCCGAGATTCTGGATATGAGAGCTAAGTATCTTCCCCGAGTCGATTAATTACTATTTATGGTTTATGTGATGTGTATCATGATTTCACGTGTCGATTGGAAGGTCGGAAAAGTGACTTACCTATATTAAGAGCAATACAAATGTAACATAGATTGGCGATTGTACCGGCAACGCTCGAGGGCGTTGTGCGGGGTGTTAGCCAGAAGAAAGGCTACCCGTAAATTGTACTGGCGAACACTTGCGGGTGTTGCGCGTAGAGTTTGTCAGAGTGCACTTGACTGAACAAACAGGATACGCTGAAAGTGCCAATCATGAAGCATTGGCTTCATGATCAAAGGCTTATGGTAATCAAAAGGGATACGCTGAAAGTGCCAATCATGAAGCATTGGCTTATGAGAATCATACAGGATACGCCGAAAGTGTCCTGTGCCAATCATGAAACGAAATGTAAAATGAGTAGAAAATCGACGTGAATGTATATGTGAATATTGATGTGTGTATACATGTAATGTATAGGTATTAATCATGGCGAGGAAGATGCTTAGTGTCTCAACTATGAGATTCATGGTATAATTTCTCTGTACAGGTTCCTTGATGATATTGACAATTGACGAAGGGAATAAATTGAAATAAGCGAAGCAGATATCTATAGCAAACTTAACACAAGACAGAATAAGGTATGAAACATTAATATAACTTGCACTAGTATAGTAACATGGTTAAATTGTTCAATGCCGAAAGTATGAATAATCGCGGTCTGCCTCAGTCCATTGTACACCCTGTTGGTGTGGGTTGTAGGCAGACGATGAGACATGTGTGGTTCTGTGTGGTTTCTGGTTGAACCTCTAAAGAATGAGTTAGTATTTGGTAGTAGTTAATATACTTCATTGCACTAGGTATAAGGATAGAGTAAGACAACCGCACCGAACGCCCACATAGTCTCAGTCGCGACAGAGGGATACAGATTTTTTTTTAATAGCGTGACGTGGGTAATTGTACGGAACATTTAGCTTGATGGAAGATAAAAATTTAGAGCAACTTGTTTTACCATTTAAAATTTTGTGAAGACAAATCACGTCAGCAATCTTGCGACGCACTCTTAAGGTGTTCATTTTAAACAGGTTTAATCGAGACTCGTAGGGATTTCTGTGTGAGATACCGGAAGTAACAAATGCCAGATGCCTCGTCAAGGCACGCTGTATACTCTCAATTCTTTGAGAGGCCACACTATGTCAAGGGTTCCATGAGACAGAAGCAAACTCGAGGCGACTACGGACTAGACTGTTAAAAAGTACAATTCTGGATCTAGCAAGTTTAAAGCCACGCATGTTTCGCTTTAAAAATCTCAACATTTGAGCAGATTTCTTTACAATCGCGTTCAGGTGGGCGGTAAATTTGAGTTTGCTGTCGAGTATTACACCAAGGTCTCGCATCTCACTCTGCCTGGTAAGTATTTCAGGACCCAGCGTATAAGAATTTTCAACCGGGTTCACTTTTCTGGTGAAGCTAATACAACAGCACTTATTCGGGTTCATTACCATATTGTTTTTGTCGCACCACTCTTTGATACTATTAAGGTCAGTTTGAAGAAGTTCACAGTCCTTTGGGTTGTTTATTGTACGAAAAATTTTTAGGTCATCGGCAAACAAAGAAATACTGCTATATTTTACGCATGACACCACATCGTTAATAAACAACAAGAAGAGGATGGGGCCCAAATGAGAACCCTGAGGTACACCAGACAAAGCATAGTAAGATTTCGATTCAAACCCATTGACTACTACCATTTGGGCTCTTCCTGTTAAGTATGACCTAAACCAGTTCAAGAGGGATCCACCCACGCCGCTTCCTTCAAGTTTGTGCAATAAAATCTTATGACTAACCTTGTCGAAGTCGCTGCTTAGGTCTGTGTAAATGGAATCCACCTGTCTACCTTTGTCAACCTCTTGTGATAAAAAAGACACCAATGAAGCGAGATTTGGGTCTACAGACATGCCCCTTCGGAAACCATGTTGGAAATCCTTAAGACTTCCTTCAAGGTGAGAATATAAATGCGGAAAAATCACGGATTCAAAGAGCTTTGAGAAGCAACATAAAATTGAGATTGGTCTATAATTATTAACCAATGTGCAATCAGAGTTTTTATGTATGGGTAGTACTCTAGTGCTTTTCCATTCAGTAGGGAATACACCATCACAAAGGGACCTATTGAATATCAATGTGAGTGGTCTACACCACGTCCACAGCGTCTTACAAAGAGAGGTGGTATATTATCTGGACCGCACGCCTTCTGTACGTCCAGGCGCTTGATACGCCCGGCCACATCAGACTCCGAGAAAGTTAATCTGCAAAAATTGCAACTGGTTAGGATAGGGTCATGGCTATACCGCTGGATTGGGGCATCATCCGCAGTGTAGACCGACGAGAAATGATTAGCAAACAGGTTTACTATATCAGGTCCATTATCACCCACAACATCATTCTTATTTATAATACTTGGAAATGAGGATATAGGATAACCCCTTCGTTTGTCCTTAATAAACCTCCAAAATACTTTAGGGTTACTGCAGATATTATCCTCCATTTTTTGCTTATATTCACTAAAACATTTATTGATAAGGTTATGA